GATTAGCCTTAACTAGTAATTTTTTGGTCCACATCTGAAACAAGACAGAGAACATAAATGACATATGGGAACAACTGTAAATGTGTTCACACATATCACTAAAAGCTTACTGCCTAGAATTCACAATAGTGGAAATTCTAGCTCATCTGAATGCTGAAGCTAAGTTTTCAAAACTGCAAAAGAGGACAATAAGTAATTGTTTCCTTCTTACATCCAAAAGAGTGAGCAAAAATATAAAATGCATTTTGCACTCTTCAGAAGACACCAATCTCCTCAATCAATAATTTAAACTTTAAAACTGAATTTTGTCAAAAAAGGATTTCTTCCTAATAATGTTACACATCTTTTTAAAAAACTACTTTACAAAGACTAATGAGACTCAAAAAAATCATAATTCTAAATCCTAAACAATTATGTTTTTGGTGAGTGTTTTTGTTTGTTTGGTTTGGTTGGGTTTTGCTATTCTAAGGTTTCAAACCAGAGCCTTTGTAGGCAAGCACTCTACCACTAAGCTACATCCTCAGCCCTTTTTTTAAACTTTTGAGGCAGGGTCTCACTAAATTGCTCAGGCTGACCCTGAACTTATGATCCTCCTGCCTCAGCCTCCAGAATAGCTGAGATTACAGGCCTGAGCCACCAAACCCAGTTATTTTTTAAAACTGTGCTTTTACACTTTTTCTAATAACAACATATACTATATTAACTATTATACACCTGTTATCTGCTTTAAGAAGTTATATAGTATTTTTTTGGTACTGAGGTTTGAACCCAGAGGCACTTTACCACTGAGCTACATTTCCAGCCCAATTTTTATTTTTTATTTTGAGACAGGGCCTCACAAAATTACTGATCTTCCTTCCTCAGCCTTCCAAATTGCTGGGATTATAGGTATGTACTATCACCCTGGCTTACTATCAGTATTTTTTAAAAATAAAGAACCTCCTCAAATAATGACATAAATAATATGGTTACTCTATCATCCCCAAAGCACTGTTTTGTATGTTCTCATGAACAGGACCAGCATCATTGTTCTACTAATCACTATTTTGATAACATGGTTGTAATTTCCTCCTAGAACTTGACCTATCATCTTTATAAAGGAAAAATTAAAATCTATAAAACATTATCATATTGTAATACTGTTTGAAAACGCTTCATTAAAATAATTATGTTTGGGCTGGGGTTGTGGTAGAGAGCTTGTCTAGCACGTTTAAGGCACTGGATTGGATCCTCAGCACCACATAAAAACAAATAAGTAAAATAAAGGAATTATGTCCACCTACAACTAAAAAAAAAAATTTAATGATTATGGTTATTTTACATATACACATTCATAATTTTAGATGCATGCTAAGACAGTGATTGTCTTTATCTTCCAGTAAGGAATATCACTCTCTATCAAAAGGACTTCCATCCATGTCAGCCAACTTAGTGGCTATCAAAAACTAAACAAATTCTAAGTAAACTTTACATTCATTAATAAAAAAAAAAATGGCATAAAATAAATGGGGAGTGGATCTGAAGACAACAAACAAAAAAACAGTAAGAACAGAGCTGAGTAAAAAGGAATCTAAGAAATACCATGAAGATGAGCTTTCAGGTCAGAGAAGCTGAACAACTATATCAAAGAAAAGGTCTGTCCACAGTGTCATTCATACAGACTATTGGTAGAGGGTAATGAGGCATACACAGTGGACTACTTAATGAAACAAGTTAACACTTTAATTAAAAATTAGACTTATGACCCAGACCAAAAAGAAACTTACTCTTTCAGAGATGAATACATGTAAAAGGAAACAGCCTGTCCTTTGTCTGCAAAGTTTTGTATAAATTGTGCTTCCCCACTTAATTGCAAGGTATAATGATGGTGATGATAATTATACAGGATTAAGATGAAATAAATTGTACTGGCAATAAATACTAGGGTACAAAAGAAAAGACTGTATTTAGAAGAGGAACAACAACTGGGAGGCTTTAGAAAAAAACATTTAGATTTCTAAAATCTACATCAAGCTTTCTAAGTAACACTGAAACTAGATTTTCAGCCTCTGCTGCTTTAGTGTTACAGCAGAACCCAGCCTCCTACCAGTGCCTCCCTTCTAAATTCTTGTCTCACAAATGAAGAGAATGAAATCCCTGGATGAGGAAGAGTGAGCCTAAGAGCAGGAGTTCTTTAAGGGAGAAGAAAAGAGAAAGAGCTCCTACAGGGTGAGAGGGAATCAAATAGAGGTTGCCATTTAAATGTACTAGTCTTGGGGGTTATACAGCTACAGAGTAGGGGCACTGATCAATATCTATGCTAATCAGGTCTTGGAAAAGTACCAGTGCTACTGGTCAAAATCTCTGGTAAACAGATATTAGAAAAGTACCAATGCTGTTGGTTCAGCCCATGACCTTCTAATTGGCTGTGCCCTTTTAGTCCTTGAAATTGAACTTTCCTATACCCTCTATTCAAGTCTACTCCTACCCACTTCCATTTTCCCCAATTTGAGACAAAGGCTTGGCTGGAATGTTTGGAATGCTTCTGGTTTATTTTCATGGAGTGGCCTTTACTTTGGGGGAATAAAAGCCTTAATAGGATTCCCTATCCTATCTTATTCAATAGAAAATCATATTTGTGATTTACTTCAACTAGTCATAGTTTATATTCCCAAATTCCCAAACTGTGCTAAGAAGCTAAAAGAATAAATAGGGAGTAGAAGAAAGCAGCACATAATTTAAGAAATTAGAAAATGCTTCTTGAGAAAAGTAGCCGTATTCTAAAAACTGAAGGATTAGTACATGGAGCTGGTAAAGGCAGAAGGACATGTTCAGGTGGAAGAATCTTTAAAAAATCTACTAGAAACAAAGAAAGCACAAGAAATTCCAAAAGTTCAGAATATTTCAGAAGGCTAAGGAAATGAGGGAAGACAGAGAAATAAAAAGAAGTCATTTCATAAAGAGTCCTGAAAATATATTAAAATGTTTGATTTTTACCATAGAACAACAATTAATTTTTACAAAAGGGAGTAATATTACCAAATTTACATCACAGAAAGGTCATTCTAACTTAAATGTGCTAGAAGGACTAAAAGAGGGAAGGCTAGAAGGAGGAAAACCAGTTAAAATGCAATGTAGGCTGGAAACAGCAATTCTGAAGGCTGAGGCAGGAGGATTGCAGGTTCGAGGCCTGCCTCAGTAATTTAGAGAGGCCCTAAGCAACTTAGCAAGACTCCGTCATAAAATTTAAAATAAATAAATAAACAAAAGGGGCTGGAAATGTAGCTCAGTGGTAGTGTACCCCTGGGTTCAATCCCTATTCCACAAAATACAAAACAAAGGGCTGGGACATAGATAGTTTCCCTAGCGTGTGCAAGGACCTGAGATAAATCCCTGGTAAAACATACAATGCACACACACACACACACACACAGTAGCCAAGGAGAAAAGACAAATTAGTAACAATTAAACACCTCATAGCAACAATGGAAATCAGAGGTCAGTGAAATGTGGAATGCTATTTAAAACAGCTGAACGTTCCTAAAAACATAAAACACAACTTTGAGTTCTGTATGCAGTAACGACTAACATTTGCACATCAGATAAATACCACCGCTCACTAAACAGACTATGGAGAAATTTTTAATATCATCTAGGAGACCTCACACATCTTTCTGATCAACTAACTGAATAAGCAAAAGAAAATCAGAACAGAAAATCAGAACTCTCTAATTTCCTTAGGGTAAACAGTGTTAACAATTTTAAAGCCCATATATCATTTTCAATATCCTTACACAGATCTTTCTTTTCATAAAAAGAGAACTATATAAAATTACCATTTGAAAACTTTAATGCCCTTATTGCTACTTATGAATAAGAAAAATTTTCAGAATCATATATCTAGTTGCAAAGTATTTGTCTTGCCTACACATGAAAATACTTTGGTGGGGGATTTCCAGATATTTTGTTTCTTTTAAGTGAAAACACTACAGGATATAAAATTTACTGTGAACAGGTGAGCTGATAAAAATGATACGACTGGATACAACAATTACCTGGTTACCACAGGTCAACAGTTTTTTCTTCACTAGGTTTCACTGTTTGCTTCTTTTTGTTTTTACAATTCATCTTTCAAACTCAAATCTTTCATTGACTTTGTTTAAATGATCAGTTAGTCAAACTAAGAAACCTAGGATACTATACACTACCAGACAATGCCAAGTCAGTGCCCTGAAAAATCCCCAGGAGACTATAGGAGGCGGCTCCCCAATTCAGCAGACGGCTGAGTCAGTTTCTAAACCAGTGCTTCAAATAATACAGAAATTAGATAAAGTGACCTATGAAATCATGACATATCCACCCCCACTTTGGGAAATCTTAATCCGTAAGAAATAATTACCAGTGGTCTGTCAAATCTAACTTTTATTGTATGCATGATGGACTTTTCACGAAAGCCCAAAACACCCCATCAAATCTTAATATGTATAAAGGAACTATACCAATAAATTCCAGGTCCCAAAGATTTACTAACTTACTCTTACCTCTCATCTTTCTCCCTAACTAAAACAAATAAAGCAAAATTTGTTTTCCTCACTTGTCTAGAATCTAAAGTAGGTTAAAGGAATTACGACACATAAGAGACATTATACCAGGAGTCTCTAACAACTGTTACCATTACCCACACTCCTACCCATCCTCCACAATCCACTACCTACATGGTTTTTAAATATGCATTGCTCTCTTGTTTACGGTTTTTAATAAATAGAAACATCCATTCAAAGGTAATAGAGGAAATACATTCAGATTAATAGCATCCTAGCTTCAAAACTGCCTACAGCTCCAAAGAAACTGTTTTGTTTGTTTTATGCACTGCCATGAATATGACCACTTCACGGCTCTAACATAAACAATAAAAATGTGACATGAACCTTGGCAGACATACATTTTCATTTAACATGACACAAAATAATTACTTTTTCATAAAAGCTGACTGCTATTGTCAATATTCACTCAAACTTTACCTCTAATTCTTTAATTTTTTCTTCTGCTATTTTCTGTTTCTCTAATAGCTGATTATGAATTACTTCCTTGGATTGAAGAATAAACCTACAAAACACAAAAAGTTGAAGATTAATCCACATGACCACTGTATTTGTCAAAATCAATAGCTATATACCACAAATATAAAAACTAAGAAAACTTAAGAGGATAATTTCCCAGTTCAGAACAAATAAAATACACTGTTATATTGTAATAAACTCAAAAACCACCACAGGTATTAAGCCTTCTTAGCTAAAAAGGAATAAAAGCTTAAAAGTACACTCTGCTTTCTAATTTAAGAAGGGAATCAGACTTTAAGTAGAATCATAGATACAAAAAAATAATAATAAAAAAATAAATACCACAAACTAACAAAAAAGTCAACAAATGATAAAAATCCCTATAACTTTTATTTTTACATTTATATAATTTAATTTTATCTGGATTTTTTTAAATAATATTTGTAAATTGAAGCTTCCCTTCATCTTTTTTCTTTTCTTTTTTCCTTGTAACAGCAGTAACTCATGACCTTTTAAAGTCACAATCAAGTACTGTGTTAGGATCAATGCATTAGTGTTATATGAGTTCCTCACACAAAAAGCACTGTATAAGCCCAGTATCTTTTATTATTATTTCCAGAGTGTATAATACCTCTGAAAAGCTCAAATGCACAAGTGGAAAATTTCAACTTTTTCCAACATAGGCATATTATTCGCCACTGATGAGGGTGGAAATAGGGGGAAGCTTCTTTAAAAATTAACACTGAATCTGTTTTGTGGCTTTATGTTCATAATTTTTGCTTCAGGGAAGGGAAGAACAAGCTCTTTTATTGCTCAAATAAATGAACTAAAGGAGTTTCCTTCAACTGGAACCAAGAGAAAACCCCAGTGCTCAAACCGCTTTCAGGATTATCTAAGCTAAAACAGATTTCAATTAAAGATTATAATTAATTAATCAGACTATTTCTTCTCTTTGCACATAGAGTTTAGCAACAAAGAACTAAATAACACTTCTTAACAAAAAAGTCAACAAAGAAAACATATCAAGGTAGCAATATTCAATTTTCTCTGCTAGCTCCACAAAAACACCACCATCTAGTTAGGCTCTCAAGCAGAGGATATATGTGTTATCATAGATATAAGACAAGTAAAAAGAGAACAAAAAAAACACCTAGCTACTCCCTGACATTTTGGGAGGAAATTTCTTTTTCCTTACTCATAATTACACTTTGTCACATATATTAATACAATCTGGTGAACTACTCTTTTTCACTCTAGTAATTATTAAGTCACACTACCACTGTGACATAATAGTCATCCTAGATAATTTAATCAATGATCAAGTCTTCAGCAGTAACTTGATCCTTTGTTTAAAAAAAAAAAAAAGTCAACTTGCTCATACATGTACTAGAAAGACTGACCATATTCATGAAAAACAATGATTAAATCTAGGTCTTTTCCTATAGAACACTTGGTGTCTAAAATGTTCTTACTTACTGGGTCCAAGAATACTTTGGATAAGACTATAGTGAATAGAATATTTTTTTCAGAACTGAATCATGCTAGTATTTGAGAAGAAGAGTTGTTTTGAACTGCATTAGGTCTTAGTGACACCAAGTAAAAGGCATTATAAAACAAGGCCCAAGAGTTGACAAATTTTATCATTGCATGCATAATTTCACCAAGTGTTTTAGCCACGAAAATAATTTTCAAAGTAAAATGCACATTTTTAAATAGCATTGATTGCTGGCCAATTAGTAGTATTCTCAAATAATAGGTCATCAGACATCAAATCTTTATTAGTGTCTGGGAAATTTTCAAAGCTAAGATTAGAGGTCAAGTCATTACTTATGTGGCCTTTAAAAAGAAACTATCTGCACAGATACTAAATCCCTTGAGCAGAAAATAAAATTACTAGAAAGCAAGAACACTAACAACAAAAACATTTTTCCATGGTCACACATCCCCGAGGTAGTTATATTGGACTGTGCCAACTTTAAAGGACTAAGGCTGACCAACCTACTACCATAAGCCTAAGGCATCTCAGTCATGAAATTTTAAACAAGGATGAGTACTGTGTAAACTCAACTGTTTACCTTAAAGAATAATAACACGGTCAATATTCACACATAAAAATTCATGAAAAATTTGGTTTAGTTTCCAATTCAAGAAAGGGCATAGATACATTATAGGAAATTGAAATGCCTAGATTTCTGGGAAAACAGTCTTTAGGAAACACATTATCTGCTGTTTAAAAAGGCAGTGAAGCAAATGTAGCTTAGGGTAAAGTACCACTGGGATTAAACCCCAGTACCACAAAAAAAAAAAAAAAAAAGCGCTTCAGTCGTGTAGCTAATTCTTAATTCATTCATGCTTGTTATTGTACATCTTGTTTCAATACACCACAGCATATTTACTCATTTCACTCTTAATGGACATGTGGCTTATTGACAACCTGAGAATTTTTTTAAATGTCACTGTGAACATTGTACAGGAATGTGTGTGTGCTTTCACAATCACATCCCTGAGTTTGTTTAGGGTATGTGCTTGGGAGTGGAATTGCTGATTCAGGGTATCTGAATTGTCAACTTTACTAGAAAACATCAAAATGTTCTCTTATTTTTACCTCCAATCAAAATGTTCTCTTATTTTCACCTCCAACAGCCCTGTTCGGGATTCCTATTGCCCTCTATTTGCATCACTGGGGACAGGCTTGGTAATGCTGAATGACAGTCCCCTAATTAGCTATCCATTATAGCCAGCTGTTGCATGATCACTGCTGGCTCAGGGCTGATGGACCAGGCTCCACCTTTAACACTACTTTTCTCCTAGAATTTTTTTACTTCTCCAGATAGACACTCATATAATCTACAAATACAGACTGTATTACTTCTTCCTTTCCAATAAAAATAAAAAATAAAATAAAAAGGCAGTGAAATATCAGATTCTATTGAGAGGATATATCATAATACAATTTTAAGTCTTATTATCATAGATAAATATTAGGTACACAATTTCTCCAAGTAAAGAATCTCATAGAGACCCTGATTGTTAATGAAAAACCAAATGGAAGAAAAAGAATTCTGGAGCTCATAATGTGCCATAAAAGGAAAAATAAACCATGAAGACGGAAAATATTCTAATATGACAAATGATACACAGATAACATGCTTATAATACTCAGGATTATAGAACCTAGATTAGAGTTACTGCTTTGTAAAAGGTCTCTATTTTCGGGCTGGGGATGTGGCTCAAGCAGTATAGCGAGCTCGCCTGGCATGCGTGCGGCCCGGGTTCGATCCTCAGCACCACATACAAACAAAGATGTTGTGACCGCCGAGAACTGAAAAATAAATATTAAAAAATTCTCTCTCTCTCTCTCTAAAAAAAAAATATATATATATATATTTTTTTTTTTTAAAAGTCTCTATTTTCATCTGGAAATCAATGTCATATAGCCCTATAAAAAAGGAAAGACCTCCCATATGTTCATCATTTTAAAGAATATTATTAAAATGCCCATTTTGCCCACAAGTCATAAACATTCAATACAATCTTCATCAAATGAAATCTTTTACAGAACTAAAAAATAATCCAAAAATTCATATGGAAGCCCAAAAAGAACCAAATAGCCAAAGCAATCCTGAACAAACAGAACAAAGATGGAGTACTAAATTATTGATACCTCAGAACCACAGTAACCAAAAACCCCATGGTACTCGCATAAAAACACACATATAGACCAAAGGAACAGAACAGAAATCCCACAAATAAGCCTATATATATATATATATATATATATATATATATATATATAGCCTACTGATTTGAGACAAAAGTGCCAAAAAAACATATATTGGAGAAAGGACAGCATCTTCAACCAACAGTACTGAGAAAACTGGATGTCCACATGCAGAAGACTGAAACTTGACCCCTTTCACCCTATACTAAAATCAACTCAAAACGATCAAAATCTAAATGTAAGACCTGAAAGTCAGAAACTACAAGAAGAAAACAACTTCAAGACATTGAAGGCATTCACACAGATAATGATCTTCTGATTAGGACCCCCAAAACACAGGAAGTAAAAGCAAAAATTGATAAATGGGATTATATAAAACTAAAAAGCTTCTGCACAACAAAAGAAACAATAGAATACAAGACAACCTACAGAATGGGACAAAAGTATTTGCCAACTATTCATTTTGAAGAGTTAATATCCACAACATGTAAAGAACTCAAAATCTTCACAAAAAAGTAATCTAATTATAAAATGGACAAATGAACTAAATAGATACTAACAGAAGAAATACAAATGGAACAAATATATGAAAAAAATGCTCCATATCATTAGCTATCAGGGAAATGTAAATCAAAACACAATAATCTCACCCCAGTTACAATGGCTATTATCAAAAAAAAAAAACTATAATAAATGCTGGCTAGGATGTGGAGAAAAAGGAACTCATTTACTGTTGATAGGAATGTAAATTAGTACTGCTGTTATGGAGAACAGTATGGAGGTTTCTTTAAAAAAAAAGAAAAATACTAAAAATACCAAGCTATCTCCCTCTTCTGGGTATATATCCAAAGAAAATGATAACATACCAGAAATACCTGCACACTTATGTTTATTGTGTCACTATTCACAATAAATAAGACATGGAATCAGCCTAGCAGCTCATCAACAGATAAATGGATAAAGAAAATGTGGTACACACACGGTGGAGTATCATTCAGTCATAAGAATAAAATCCTGTCATTTGCAAAAACAAAAAGTAGGATGAACTCAAGGTCATATATTAAATGAAATACACAAAACACAATGGAACTACCACATGACCCATCTATACCATTTCTCAGTATGTATCCTACGGAATTAAAAAGTCAGCATACTACAGTGATACCTGCACACCCAAGTTTACAGCAGCACAGTTCACAACTGCCAAACTATGGAACAAGCCTAGGTGTCCATCAGTAGGGGTATGGATGAAGAGAATGTAGTGTATATATGTACAATGGAGTTTTATTCAGCCATAAAGAAGAAAGAAATTACATCATTTGCAG